CCAAGAGGAAGAGATGACAATCATAAATATCTATGCACCAAACACTAGTGCACCCAACTATATAAAACAAAACAAAACAAAACAAAACATATCCTAAAAACCAGGCAGCTTGATTGTGTATAAATACAATAGAAAAAGACAACCTTTCCGTCTTCTAATATGCTTGGTTTTTTGAACATCAAAATACTGTGTCACTGGGATTTTGACAGGAGAGAAAATTTTACTCATTAAAAACAAGGCCTTCTTGCTTTGCCTTGGGTTTTTCCTAAGTTCTTCTCCAGTCTTCTAAGTTTACTGATCCATGAATCTGCAATTCATAGTGCATATGGTCAAGAGATTTCTGGAGGAATGCCAGGCTGAAATAGAAGCCTTCTGACCATAACTACTGGTGGTGGGGTGGTGGGGCGGTGGGGTGGTGGGGTGGGGTGTGGGGCTGTAGTCCTCTCTGCAATCATCGCTCATAAAAACTTTGGAATTTGTTTGCACAAAGAGCTCATTGAAAGCCGACAGGTCTGGTACAGCCATTCCTTTATTCCTATTGGTGGGGGGAAGCATCCACAAAGCCAGCCACCCTGCTTGTACCATTTCTGCAAAGGGAGTGTCCGAAAAACCTAAGCCTTGAGTAATTAGCAGGCCCCACTTTCCAAATGGGTGGAGGCGGCAACGTGGTCTGGGGACAGCGCCCAAGACCTGAGTCAGGGCCTAAGTCTGCCAACTGAGGCAAGACAATGAGTTTTTAGGTCCTCGTCCTGGAAATGCCTGAGGGAAGAAGCAGTATCTCATCTACAGGGGGTCTGTATCAATCAGGTGAGTACTTGCATGAAACTGTTATCTAAGTCAGAATCCCTCCACAAAAGCTAGTTGTTGCTGTTGCTGTTGATGTTGTTGTTATATTATTTTGAGACAGGGTCTGACTATGTTGCCCAGACTGAACTTGACCTCCTGCACTCAAGCACTTCTCTTTCCTTAGCCTGCTTAGCTGTGACTACAGGTGCACCACCATGCCCAGCTTATCGCTATTATTTCATTAACGCACCTGGGTAGAGCTGCTACGTTAGCAGTTTTGCAAAAGTTCACTCTCCCATTCCAACCCACAGTTTTTCCTGAAAGTCAGATTTCTATTGATGGAAATGTAAACTTTATTTGTCCTCTTCCTGTTTGGACTCTTAAAATGCGAGAACCTCCCAGAAGGTAGAATACGTCAAAGTACTCCATGCTAAAACATATGTGGCTTGGCGAATACTTTCTCTTTCAGGAGGGATCAGGTGTCTAAGGATGATAATGGAAAGAGATAATTGAAAAGTCCTTTTAAAGAGTTCCACCATGGGCATTCCATGCCCAAAGAATTGTAAAATTGTAATAGCTTTGCAGATTTAAAAGATCAGTAGATTTTGAAGTGAAAACTTAGGCAGGTCCCTTCTATACAAAACAGAAAAAATTCAAAGCTACAGTGGTAGGCTCAGAATCTCACCCACCATCCCAGCCTCACACTGAACCCCTACCACCTCACAAAGCCCCTCTGTGACTTCCCAGGGGTCAAGAATAGAGTTTGAAAATCTCTGCCTGTTTAGTCTCCATATATACTGTGGAGGCCAAGTGACTTCCTAAAAGAAAGATGAAATTGTAGCCACTAACATAATCTAGGGTTCATGGCTTTAAATGAGAACAAAATAATAATAAGGAACAGTTATTGATCTCTTACTGTATGCCTGGCTCTTGGTTAAATTATGTGCATTATCTGATTTAATCTTCATGTGAGGTAAGTATTTGTTTCCTCCCTAAATTAAAGATAAGGAGCCAGGTGTGGTGGCACATGTCTGTAATCCCAGCACTCAGGAAGCTGAGGCAGGAGGATTACTGTGAGTTTGAGGCCAGCCTAGGCTCCATAGTAAGTTCAAGGCCAGCCTGGACTACACAGTGAGACCCTATCCCACCCCCCACCCCAAATAAGAAAACCGAGGCTTAGAGAGGATGAGAAGTTTGGTAAGAAACTCAGACTGAGGCTTATATGGCTCTAAGGTTGATATTTTTATCTCCGTCCTGTATTTCCTCCCATCATCCTATTTTTGAAGGAAATTGTTATCTGTCTCTGTCTTATTTTAATCAACATAGATGTCATCTAGAATTTCTATATATTATAGAATGGAATTTTAATAGAAAATTGTTTATAATACATATTATCTTCAGTCTGGATTCCGATTTTAAAAAATGAAGAAAAAATTTGAATGAAAATAGTTCCTTTATGGGTAAAACACGTAAAGGAGCATACAGCCTTAGGCAGGATGAAGTTCTGTTTTCCTCCTGTGTTGCCAACTCTGGATCATTATTTTTCTTTCTGTTCAAACCTAGCATAAATTTATTGAATAAAAGAAGAAGGGGAAAGTTGACTTCAACTAGAAAAATTCTCCACCTTAATATCTGAAATTCAGAATTACTCTGCAAAGCAAAATACATTGAATCTTGCTGACACACACACACACACACACACACACACAACTTAGCTCATCATGGAAACTTTTAAGCAATTTCTAAAAGGAAGAAATCAAATGAATAAGAACATTCTTCTTTTAGTTTAAATGGTGTTGGAGAGTGATTTTCTCACCAGCAGGAAAAGACAACCATTTTTGTTATAGGCACCAGGAAAGTCATCATTCCCTTGGTTTTGAAAGCAATGGAATGGTAAAATAATAGTATTTCTGGGCTCTGAAAATTCTGTCCAAAGATAAGCCAACCTCCCTTAGAGATAGAAAGATAGAAGAACAGAGCAACTGACAGGCAGGCTGCTCACCCAAATTTTATTGGTTGTTCGTCTCATTCCTGTCCATTTCTGAGAGCTCTTTATAAATCAGAGACACTAACACTTGGCTTTGACATTACACATTTTTTTGGAACCATGTTTTTTGTCATTGATTTTTCCTTGCCACCTTTTCCAGATAAGCTGTTTTCATTTATTTATGTTTAGATATACAGTAATGCCTTGGTTCACAAAAGCTTCTATTTGAAAGCAATTCAGGTTGCAAACAAAAGCATTCTGCCAAATTTTTCTTCCATTTGCAAATTCCACATCAGGTGACAAACACATGACCACATTCATCTTCCTCACACAAACACAAATGCAGCCATGTTCCCCAAAATCATAAAACAAATTAAGTTTGTAAACTGAGGTACCACTGTATAGTATTTGTCTTCTTTAAAATAAGCTTCAGGGATTCCAATCTCCAATAAGAAGCTATGCCTCCTATTTAAAATTATCAATTATTTGTTTTAATCCTTATTTACACTTTCAGTTTCTCACACTAGAGAAACTATTTGGTATTGACACATGTGTGTCCTATTTATTTCACTTAGGAGTATGGCCTCAATATGTATCCATTTAGCTATAAATGTCTCGAGTTTCTCATTCTTTATGGCTGAGTAGTACTCCATTTTATAAAAAACCACATCTTCTTTATCTAGTTTCCAGTTGATGTGCACTTGGTCCAAAGGGGTAGGGGAAGTAGGAGGAGAAGGGGAAAAGAAAGAAGGGAAAGGAAAAGTTATGAGAAAAGAAAAAATGGAAACAAAGTCTATGTAAATAGGGAAGGGTGGAGGGGGTGAAGCATGCACAGGTAATGGGGAAAAAATAATAACCAAGATATATCATGTACAGGTACAAGCACCAAATGATAAATATAAACATATTGTATACCTAAAATGTACCAATAAAAGAATTTAAGAAAAAAAAAAGAAGCTATGCCTCATCTCTAGATTGTCCGGAACCTATGTTTTCTTACACTGTACATTTTTTTGGGTTTTAAATTGCATTTGAGTTTTCATTCCTTACATAATTTGTACCATTTTATAACTCTTTTCATGGCTCTATGTCAGGTTAACATAATTTATTAACTAATTTTCTTTTCTCCATGAGTTAGGGTTAAATTTTCATACATGCTGAACTATCTTTCTGGATTCTCTATTCTACTCCACTCATCTATTTAATGTTTAAAAGACTGTATTGATTTTATTGGAGTGACTTCCTGTTCTCTTTTGTACATTCTTGGCTGTCCTTAGGCACTTATTCTTCCATGAAAATGTTAAGATTTTTACTGGTGTTTGTGGTAGAATGATAATGCCTCCCCCATAGGTCCACCTCCCAGTCCCTGGCACCTGGGGATGTTACTTTCTTTGTCATTGTATAACTAAAGGATCTGTGAATGTGATTAAAATTAATGTTTTTGAGGTGGGGAGATCGTCTTGAATTATCCCTTTCTTTTGACAGAATCACAAAGATCCTTATAAGAGGGACACAGGAATCATCAGAGCCAGAAGAGGAGGGAGTGTGATAACAGAAGCAGAGAATGGAGTGACACACTTAAAGGTAGAAGAAGGGACCATAAGACTCTACATGGCCACTCCAAGCTAAAAAAAGAAAGTAGCAGATGCTCTCCTCAGTCTCTAAAAAGAAACAAGCTTGAATGACACATTGACTTTAGCTCAGTTGTGTAGTCAGCTTTCCTTTACTCTACAAAAAAATCTGAGGTAATCAACTTAAAAAGAGGAATGGTTTATTTTGGTTCATGGTGTTGGGGGTTTAGTATGTAGTCTGTGGATCTTGTCGTTTTGGGGTCTGTGGTGAAGTAGTGCATCATGGCAGAAGCACATGTTGGAAGCCACACACTTCATGAAAGCCAGGAAGCGGAGAGAGGAAAGCCCAGATCCCAGTGTTCCCTTCAAGGGTACATCTTCATCCCTGTAGGACTAGAAGACTTCCAAACAGGCTGCACCCCTTAAAGGGTCCACCACCTCCCAAAAGCCCCATGGACTGGGGACCCAGCCTGCAACACATGGACCTCTTAGGATATTTACCCAAACCCTAACAGGCAGTGAGCTGATCTTATGGACTTTTGACCTCTAGAGCTGTAAGAGGATAATTCTGTATTTCTTAAGCCACTAAGATTATAGCAATTTGTGATAATGATAAGAAACTAATACAATGTTGAAATATAAATTATTCTATTGTTATATGTTAATTGATACTTCTATGATATTTGTTTTTCCATCCAAGAACATAAACATTTTTTATTTGTTCAGATCTTGTTTTATTTTCCTCAATAGTATTTTGTGTTTTATTCATGATGATTATTAGATATATAGTATATATTTATAATACAATAGTATTTTCCCAACATATAAAATGTGCCTTGTAATGTATGTACTACACTAATTACTTAATCCTTTCAAAAGTGTCAAGATAAGGACTATACTGTCATGTGATACAGGAGGAAACAGAGGGTTTTAATAGCTTAGGAGATAACTCAAAGTCACACATAGTGGCAAAGGCCAGATGTGGAGCTTGGTCAGCCAGCTTCAAAGCCTTTGTTTGCTCATTCTGCCACTCCAGACAGCATGAGGCTGGGTCAAGTGAAGACTAGGATCACTGCTGCTTAAAAAGGAATCACGTGAAAGACTCGGAGGAACACACACCTGCATATACTTGTTGCCTCAGGGTGGTGCAATTTTGTTTTATTTTCCAAAACCATGCTTGAGGAAACATCTTCCTAGTTCAATCCTTCTCATTGGAATGGGATTTTTCTTTAAATGGAAGGAGGAAATTCATTTTGTCATTTAAAAAATGGTTGGTTTTTTTTCTTTTGTTTTGTTTTTTTGAAGAACAACACATAATCTTTCTCAGTAATAATGGGTGGGAAAGGTGACCACTTCCTTTTCCTGGAACTTCCCTTTGTGTGTTTTCTTTAGAGCTTGTCTGTGGTCATGAAATTTAAAAAGAGCTTTTTGTTGTCTTGTTTAGAACAGGTGTGGCTTTACCTCATGGTCTGCCCAAGTGAATTACTTACTGTAGAGAACATTCTGTTTGCTGGGAAAGTACTTTGCATATGGATTGTAGCACTTAACTTTTTTCTACAGTATTGCATCATTTCTCTTGATTTTTCTCCCCTTTTCTGTTCTACTTAAAACTGACAGCAAAGGGTTGGACTGTAGTTCACTGATAGAGTACATACTTAGCATAGGCAAGGCCTAGGTTTCATCCCCAGCACCAGAAACAGTTTGACAACTACAGTAATTTTATTTTAAAGTAAATTTTATCTTTAACAACTTCCAACTTACAGAAACTTTGTAATAACAGTACAAAGAATGTTGGTCCTTGAACTATTGGATACCTAAGTTGACTGTGGTACACCATCTCCCCTGGGTACCTGAGTGGGTATTTCTTAAAATCAAAGATAGAAAAGCATAATCTGCTCATCAAAATCTGTAAATTAGTACTGTTTCATTACAACCTTCTAGTTCTCCAACCCACTTCAGAGTTCATCAGTTGTCCCGTGAGTCCATTGAAACAAATGGATTCACTTGAGAATCCCTTGTTGCAGTTAGTTGTCAATTACCTTAATTTCTTTTACTCTGTAAGGGAAACCCAGAATATAAATAAATTAAGGAATTAAATGAGGAGAGATGGTCAGAAACAGGGAGGCAGACATTTTGGAGATGGGGAACAGGACAAAGGGAGGGAGAGAAGAGGAGGGGGTGGATAAAGAGATCAAAAACAGTCAAGATATGATAAAAATATTTACAAATTCCTCCAAGCTAATGTAGGTATCACGTATCACAAAAATACAAGGATAAAAAAAAATCATTAAAATAATTCCTAAGTCTTTTCCTGACTTCTTTGGCTTTTTGTTTGTTTGTTTTTGGTACCAGGGATCGAACTGAGGACCTTGAGCTTGCAAGCCAGGCACTAGAACCACTAAGCTAAATCCCCAGCCTCTTGACTTCCTTGGCTTTGATGCTATATTACAGTCAGGGTTCTCCAGAGAACTAATGGAGTGTGTGTGTGTGTGTGTGTGTGTAAAATACGCATATTATATACACACATATGTGTATATATGTATATATATAAAATATACATATACACACATACACTGTTTACTATATATTATATATTAATACATATAACACATATGAGGTAAGATAAAAATTTAAAGTGAGTGCTTAAACTTTAAAAATTTATTACAGAAAAAGACACATTGCCATTCATCCTTCTCAGAATACTTCACCTTGCTTTGAACACACTTTTCCCACCGTTCTTACTACTTTCTGAAGCAGTTCTGGAAGTCTTCTTTCATGAGTGTCTTTGGAAGGTACCATAAAAAAATCCAGCAAATGCAGCTGGCATGTACCAACCAATGGAAAGATGGGCTCATGAAAAAATTATGATGTGCCCTTATCCATCATATTCTTTGCTTCTAGTAGCTTGTGTCTTCTAGATCTTCCCTAAACTCAAAATGACCATGAAAGCTAAATTTTTAAATTGATTCAGGACATTGAGGCAGTCATAACAGTGCAATAAAGACACTCATGGAAAAGGATTTCCAAACCTGCTTCAGACAGTGGCGAGAATAAGATAAGTGTGTTCAAGTGAGGGGAAGTATTTTGAGGGGGATTAATGACAATGTATCTTTTACTGTAACAATTTTTTTTTTGGTACTCTTTTTTTTTTTTTTTCTGATCGAACTCAGGTCCTCCCTCGGTGCTTGCGCAGCAGAAGGCGAAACCACTGAGCTAAATCCTCTGCCCAACTGTAACAATTTTTAAAAATTTTGAAAGTATTCACCATGTTTTTCAATCACACTTCCTACACATATATGTATGTGACAGTTAAGCTTAACTGTGCCATCTTGACTGACTTGGGAACCACCCAAAGGATTACTAATGAAGCACACTAATGTGGGTGTGTCTGGAAGGGTCATTGAAGTATGACCTTACTATTCATGGTCCTGGGCCCCTTTCCTCCCTGGCATTTTCCTGTGCTTTGCTTGCCAGCTGACATAAAGCATCTTTGTTCAGCTGTGCCCTTCTGCCATGAGGTTGCAGCCTGGGAACTGACCATGGACTGAATCCCCTGAACTTGTGCACCAAATTAAACCTCACCTCATTCAAGCTCTGGATGTTAGTTGTTGTGACCCAGCAATGGGAAGCTGAAGAGTACAATGCACACATATACGTGTACATATAAGTAGACTGGCTCACATGATTACAGAGGCTGAGAAGTTTGAGGATAGCTCTCTGCAGGTCAGAGAGCCAGGGAAGCCTATACTGGCTCACTCCAGGAAGCTGGAAGCCTCAGAAATGAGACAAGCTGTAGGTTGTTGCCCCAGTTCCAAGCCCAAAAGCCCTGGAACCCCAGAGGCACACTAGTGCAAGTCCTAGACTACAAATTCCAAAGAACCTGGAGTCTGATGTTCAAGAGCAGTAACAGGAGACAGGAGACAAATGAGAGAGACAGAGAGAGAGAGAGAGAGAGAGAGAGAGAGAGAGAAAGCCCTTCTATCTGGGCCGCTAGTTGATACCCACATTCAGTGTGGGTCTTCCCCACTCACTGGACTGACCCTGACCCACCCACCAATCCCTTCTAGAAACACTCACAGACACGCCGGGAAGTGTACTTCACTAACTCTCTGGACATCCCTCAGTCCAATCATGTTGACCCTAAAATTAATGGCCATAGATACTTTTGAAGATTATAGACCAGTTGTTTTTTAGAAGTCATATATTTGTGTTTGATATAAGATTCAATTTATGAATTTTGGCAGGAACTTTTCACATGACCTTTTAGTCTTTCTATTGCCATCTTATTGAAGGATACAGCTTCAGTTTTCCTTGTGGATGATGGTCACAAATGTCATTTAATTCAGGTGGTGTCTGCCGCCCTTCTCCACTAAGAAGTTACTGGGTTTTTTTACAGTTACTCTGATTATAGTTTTTATGCTATAATTAGTGCATATTTTGTGGGAGAGGTTGTACGTAAATATTCCATTTTTATTAAGTTTTTATTTTATCCATATATTTATGTTGCATTAAAATTAACTACCATAGATTTATTGCTATGGACTCAGGGTTTTCCATTTTATGCACCACAATGGTTATTTATTGTGATGTGAGGCTTGTTTCTGTGTCCTTTTGATATGTTCCTATCATTTACTTGCTCTCAGTACAAGGTTCATATTCTTAAATTCCCAGTAGCTTGACAAAGCTGGGGGACATCTCTAAGAATAGCTTCATACAACTATGGGTTGGTATATGCATATAGAAATATATATTCACCTTTTTGTCTGTAGTTTTATATCTATCAGTATGTATTGAAAACCATGGGTTTACCCCAACAGTTTTCTCCTTTTCTATGTTTGTCCCTCCCGACTCCAAGAAAAACTTTGGCTCCCATTATCATTAAGTCTCCTTATTTGCTCAGTCTTCTACATATAGCCAGTCTTCTACTGTGGCTTCTATCCCTCTTGCTCCTGTGGCCACCTTGTCACTCCGCTCTTGATCCAAATTACTGTCACCACCATGCTGACCCAGTCTTTGACTCAGTCCAATCTCAATAGTCCAGGATGTGCTACCAGTTCCTGCATGGATCTTGTCTCAGTCTGTTTTGTACATCTATAACAAAATACCCAAGGCTGGGTTAATTTATAAAGAAAAGCACTGGCTTCTGGTGAAAGCATCATGGTAGATAATGTCCAATACTAGAAGTGTGTGCAAAGGAGTGATCACATTCTGAGAGAGGAAGCAAAGAGTGAGCAAGGAAGCTTCCTTTATAATAACCCAGTCTCGTGGTAACTAACCCAGTCCCTCAAGACCAAATCCAGCTTCAAGAGAACTAACCCACTTTCTCAAGAAAAACAATCCATTCCTGAAAGCAGATCCCACCTGACTCCAAACACCTCAAAAAGGTCCCACCACTTTAATATTGTTACTTGGGGAAATTAAGCCTTGACATAAATTTTGCTAGTGACAAACCATACTCCAACCACAGCAGACATCCTCCTCACCCCATCAGGTTTCTAATTTCCTGTCCATGACAGCAGTTTCATGCATTTGCCTTTCTTGTCCCACCCCCAGGTGGCCTGTCACCAGGTTAACACTCTCTTTGCCCTGCCTAGATTGTACACCTATGCCAGTCCATGTATCTGTGGCAAAGCCTCCTCACCGTGCTGGGACTCTCACACCTGGCTCGAGCATCCTTCTTACCTGGGGGCTCTCCTTAGCCTCTTAGCCCGTGTTACCCTCTGTGCCAAGGAGACAGCCCACCCTGGGCTGCTGCCTTCACTCCAGAGCGGCCCAACACTCTCTGCCCTACTGGTTTCAGGACTGAACTGTTCCAGTAAAAAAGGAAAAGAGGAAGAGAAAGGAGAAGAGGAATATTTGCTTTCTTAGGACCAGATCATCACCATGACAAATTCTTAGTCAACTCCTAAGTTAATGGAAGAGCTGGCTTCCGATCAAGTTTATTTTGGAAACCATTTCTGAGCAATGATGACAAAGATCTTCGGTGGATATGGGTCCAGATAGAACCTAGGAAGCCTGGCATCTGGTCTTGCCTTGCACTTTACCAGTTGTGTGAAGCCTATTGTTCTACCTCTAGTCCTTTGTACAGTAGAGTGATAAATAAATATATCAATTAAGTAATAAATAGGATGCCTGATATGAGTCCCTTTTTCTGTTTATATAAAATAGAGATAGTTTTTATGAGGATGAAGAGAGATAAGGTATTTTGAAATGTCCTGAAAACTATAAAAACCATGTTAATATTGCATTTTTATAAGAAAAATATCTTTTCAGGAAATATCCTTGTATTGCAAATTTTTGGTAGGGCAATCCTACTTTCTTATGACTCACAAAATTGATGTGAATAAAATATACCCAATACACAGAACTGAAAATGTGTGCTGGGAAAATAAAACCCAGGAAGCCTGGGAGGGGGCAGCAGCATACAGTCACAGCATGCCGGACGTTATAAAGCCAGAGCCCCGTAAGCCGCACTTTGAAGAACTTCTGATTTAATTTAATTCAGTGTGCTTACTTACTGACCCTCTCCCTTTAAATACTGTGAAAGCCTAATAACTCCACCCTTAAATTTACTTCTCTTTATCTTCTCTGTCGAAATTTCCTCTCTGTTCTGATACCCTTTAGCGGTCTCCAGGACTTCCCTTTTCTTTACTGCCTACTGTCCAGATGTGTGTGGTATCTAATTATACTGTTATTTTGAGCAAAAGACCCTGACTAAATAGGATCTGTGAAAATTCTTTGCTGGTCAAGGCAAAAGGAATAAATTTAAGACAGTTTTCTGTATATTATGAATAAAATCTCATCTTTGACATTTTGTAAGAGACTCCAATGCGTATTTACATTGCTTTTCATTTATTCTTGGGTTCTACAACAATGAACTACCATATGCAAAACCAAACCAACAAAAGGACCCCAGAGCCATCAGCCCTGTTTGAAGACTAGACTCTTAACATTGTCCTGTGCTCTAAGGTACTGCCTTCATTGCGAAAAGTCTGCAAAAGGGACACAAGAAAGAGTTCAGAACCTTTCAAAAGAAGTGGGAGTAAAGATTGGGGAAAGTAGAGTGAAAGTAAGAATCCCCAAGCTAGGAAAAAAGCATGAGTGCTGCAAGGAAGTCCTCAATCCTAGCCAGTGGGGAGCTTTGAGGTTGAAGGGAGGTGGAGACAGTTGACTCCTGGCCTCTTTCATCTGGTGCTGCTGAGAGCTCTTACACATGTCTTACTTCTGCAGGACTCTTAGCTCGGTGGTAACTGAGCGAGCTGAGCTGGGCGTTACCATGTGGTCTCGGTGTCAACTGGATTGGATGGGATTTGAAGACTAAGTCGCTTTCCTGGATGGCTTTTCATTGACCCATTTATTTCTCTCAGAAGCAGTTGTTACATACATAGGGTTGTGGCTGCTGTAAACCAAAACATAAGATACACAAGGCAAATTTGTAGACCAATTTAAAAAAAAAGAAATCTCATATTCTAATCTCATGCAAACTTATTATCAGCTAAAGAAGTGGCTTAAACATATGTTTGTCTCAGTTCTCCCCCAAAAGCCCACCAATATGACAATGAGTAAATTTTTTAAAAGCCAAAATTCCATAAGGACAAAGAGACTGAGAGTGGAGGAAATAGCAAGGAAGAACTAGAATATGAAAAGCGTGAGTGTGAACTGACCGAGCAGACTCTGGAAGTGACAACCCAAGCTGGCAGTGGGAAAAGTGAGTCATCCATCATCTCACTCCACAGAAGCGCAAAAATGCTCAGGAATCATTGTCACCAGTTAGCTGTAAAATGAGGCTGAGTGGGAAACAGGTGAATCGGTGGAAAGTCTTTTTGAGAGTGGTTAGGCTCCCAACTCACTTCTCAAAGCCTTGTTGCAGAATACTTGTCCCTTCTCCCAGCTTTGTACAGGACCAGAAATTTATTCTCTATAACTGTGCTGCTCAATATGATGACCGCAAGGTCTGCATGCTTTTAGGGCCCTTGATATGTGGCTATTGTTAATTGAGATGTGCTGTAAGGATAAAATACACATCAGATCTTAAAAGACTTAGTAAAATAAAAATAAAGTTAATTGAGATGTGCTGTAAGTATGAAATACACATCAGATCTTAAAGACTTAGTAAAATAAAAGTAAAATATCATGGCATTTAAAAATATTGATTATAAGGGTGAGGGTAAAGTTCAGTAGTAATGCATTTGCCTAGCATGTGCAAAGTTCTGGGTTTGTTTCTTAGCACCATAAAAAATCGATTATGTGTTGAAAAGATAATATTTTTTTCTACTGGTTTAAGTAAAACATGATTGAAGTTAATTTCTCCATTTAGTTTTAAAAATGTGATTAATAGAACATTTAGTCATTCCTATGGCTCTTATTATACTTCTATCGGACAGAAATGCTCTAGAGGGTATGAACCATCAGTTACTCAGGGCAAAGGCCACAATGGAGAAGCTTCTACCATGAAAGTGGAGTTGCCAAGCAAACAGTTAAGTAGTGAGAACCCAGCTCTTTCTCTCACCCAGGTCCTAGGGTACTGGCAGCTGGTTTACTAAGCTCCAGGTAGAAGATAGGATTGTCCACCTCAGGAGCAGCTGATCAGCTTATGGAAAGTTATGAAGATACTGAAACAGACACATCAGCTTCTGCTCATGTCCCCAAAACATTCACTTATGCACATGAAGACAGTTTCCTGCAGCTTCCTTCAGGAGAATTCTCCTTGCAGATAGTTGCAGCCAGAAATGTCTGAGATTTTGCGGGCCCGAGCTGGGTCACAATGAGCCTGGCCCCTTGCTCTTCTGCCACCTGCTTGGACTCTCAGGACCCCCACCCATTGGGCTTCAATTGCCCAGCCTACGCTGGTTCCCTTTGCCCTTCTCACCTCTCCACCACCTTCTCCCTTAGGGTTTCCTGAGGTCACCTCGGAAATCTGGACATCTTATCTCTGAGTCTGCTTCGAGGAAGCCTAAACCAAGACAAATTCTGACTCAAGGATTGTCCAGAAAAACAAACCAGCCATGTTACCCTGCAGAGAAGCTACTGCTGGACAAGCCTCACCCGTAGGCTCAGAGCTCCTTATTTTTATTGTTGAATATTGACATTATTTTAATTTTCCAACTTTACTGAGGTATAATTGGTATACAAAAAGCTGTTCATAACTAATGTAGACAGTTTGGTATTTAGCACGTATGTACGTATTATTACCTATGGGCACAGTGTTGTACGGCAGAACTCGGGAACTTACTCTTTCATAACTAACTTTATCCCCACTGAACAATAGCTCCCTATATTGCTTTCCCCCATCCCTTGTTACCACCATTCTGTGGTCCACTTCAATACCTCTGACTACTGTAGGTGCCTCATGGAAGAGGAGTCAGGCAATATTTGTCCTTCTGTGTGACTTGCTTGTTTTACTTAGCATAATGTCTTTTGAGTCCATCCATGTTGTTCTAAATGGTAAGGTACCCTTCCTTTTTAGAGCTGAATATACTCTATTTATGTACATAGTACATTTTCTTTTTCCATTTGTCCCTTGATGGGCATTTACATAGCTTTACATAGCTTGGCTACTACCAAAAAAATACTGCAATGAACATGGAGTGCAAATATCACTTTCAGATCCTGATTTCAGTTCTTTCAGATAAATGTCCAGAAGTGAGATTACTAAATCACATGATAGCTCTATTATTTTTTATTTTGAGGAAACCTTGCACTGCTTTCCATAGTGGCTGCTCCATTTTAAGTTCCCACCAAGAGGGTACAAGGGGTTTATTTCTCTGCATTCTCACAGACATTGGTTACTACTGGCTTTTAATTACAGCCATCCTAACAGATACGAAGAAATCTCTCGTTGTGGTACTGATTTGCATTTCTCTGATGATTAATAATATTGAGCATCTTTTCAAATACTTTTTGGCCATTTGAGTGTGTTTTTTGGAGAAATGTCTGTTCAAGTCTTTTGCTCATTTTAATCAGGTTATTATTATTTTATTTATAACAAGGTAACAACCTACGTATGGTTGTTTTTCATGCCTTGCTTTGTGCATAGATGCATATTGTTCCATAAAAATAATACTAATATGCAAAAAAGATGCCTGCCTATCTGTGCTTAAACCAGGTCCCAGTAAGGGAGGCGTCAGATAAGAGGGACATTTGTTGTGCAGTGAATAGAGTCTGCACAGCATGTTAAGGAAGCCCAGAGTAACCCTAAACAAGCAGGCTAGGAGAGGAGCAAGAGGAAACAGAAAAGGGCCAGCTGCCTATAGCAGAAGAGAGGGCATCCCGCAGAGGAAGCAGGATTTTCAGGAAATCAAAAATAATTTCAGGGCTGCAGCGTGGGATATGGGGAAAAGTATCCAGGAATGAGGCTGGAAGAGGCCCAGGTCTCTTCATGAAAGAGGCTTATCATGCCATAAGAGTGTGATGATCTCCTAGAGAAATACTCCCAGTGACTTCACCTAAAGAGGGAGCCTCTTCTATGATCTCCATAGTCTCTTTTCCTGCTAAGGTCTCTTCCTTCTTGCCATCATCAGAAATGAATAGCAACAATCAAGCCCTCTGCATATTCTGAAAGCAAAAATACCTGGGACTGTGTGGGACCAGGAGTAGGCAGGAGAAAGGAGAGATGTCTGGTAAAGCTGTAAAGTGTGCTTTTTTGTGCTTTAAGTCACCCCTGATACACACATACACACACACACACACACACACACACACACACACACAGATCATTTTTGTACCTCTCTTTTAGCACCTCCACATGGCCCAGCACCTCTCATCGGTGAACTAAGCTGAGCTGCAGGATCTCATGCATTTGTGAGGAATTTGGATCTTTCTCCCTGTAGCATAGTATCTTAGACCAGTTACAGGAAAAAGATTTTCAGGAAGCACCAACAACCTAATGGGAGAATGTTGGGCTTGTGGGGAAGAGACCGGGAAGAGATCTGCTGGGAAAGTCTCTATGGCCTCCCAAAACATTACACAAGCTTTGGATGTCAGAAGAGATCTGGAAAGACACAAAGAAACAGGGTTTTTAGGTAGGTGAGAAGTGTCTTCAAGGTAGCTCTTAAAAGCATCTGATCTACCTGGAGCACAATAGGCTTCCAGGCTTTTCTCTAGCTAAGAGAATCATAGCTAAGGTGCTATGCTGCCAAAAATGAGGATCTATGTGAGCACCCAAACTTCAAAATAAGATACCGGGAGGGTGTACAGCTTGCCCTCATCTTGTTTTTTTACTCCAAACTGAGTTACTGAGTAAAAAGCCAGGGCATAAACATTGCATTCAGGCTGAGCTCTAAAATGGGAAGCTAACAGAACCAGAAACATTGGGAGGCATAAACAAGACCTTCACTTGAAGCAAGTTCACAACCCAGGAGGGAAAATTTCACCAACTGAAATTGATTCCTTGGCATGATACTCTATTCATTTGGCTCCATAGAGTAGTGGCTATGCTTCCTCAGTCATCAAAGGTGACTGTGCCCTCACTCATTCCTACTTCATCTTGCCTCAGTTCCTGTTGGTCCAGGCTGGCGGCATTCCACTGGTGGAACATTCTCAGAAGCCTCGTGTGTCTCCCGTGTGATCCAGGAGTCCAAGTAATGAGGTGAGAGGGTCCTCCACAGATCTCTCCTGATCACTGCATCTCTATTCCTGTCTTGTGCTGAGATGACTGATTGGATTCATAAATCACACACCTAATCTCGTCACTAAACAGTTGCTCAGGCACACCTTTGGCCTTGCT